TCTAGAGATATCTCTCTGACCAAGATTTCCAGGCCATATTTGGATTCTCCAGAGAAGAGTTTCACAGTTTGCCTCAATGGAAACAGAAGACCGTTAAGAAGGAAAAGGGATTGTTTTGAAAATGATGTATGTTTCATAATGCTGGTGGTGGGAGGAGGGATTAGAGACACATCTAGATTTCCTATTTCAAATTTAAAGAGAAATGTTCATTTAAATATTTTGTCATGACTGATTGTGTAATAGTTCATATGTTCCAGACGCAATAATCATATTGCATTTTAATTGTAGGACTTATGCTATTTCTAGTGAAAGCAAAATAAAAATACATATATTTAGAAACGATTGTTTTGAATCTTCCTACTCCTGTTTTTCCTACGAGTGACATTACTATCTATCCAACAGCTTTTGGCTAATGTGTGTGCTAAGTGCTTTAGAATGCATAACAGAGGCAAAATATTTTTCATCTTTTCTTTCTCTCATGTACAGTTTGGTTAGATATGGTGCTTTGAGTGGTCAAGAAGACCACTCACTTTTAAGTAAATGATGAAAAAACTGAAATTAAAACTCTCAAAGAGACATGCACAGGAAACAGACCTCTGGATGAGAAGTAAAATGAGTTAGAAGACAAACTGAATGTCGGCGTAGGTGAAATCTTTGTATTTTTGGGCCAATGAGAACATTAATCTGTGACATATAAATGAGAAGCCACATTCCAGGAGAAATGGTCAGACTGACAATGTTGACATCATTCATCGTCCAGGACAGTGGTTCCCAACCACGTTCTTAAAGAAGATTAATGTTTTTAAAATAAATTTTTGAATACAGGAAGGAAAAATAAATAAATAGATTTTCAGCAGTTTGGTGGACTATAACTTTTACTGAAATGCAGCTTTGATCTGGGAAAACTACCAAAGAAACCGTCAAACTTTCATAGATAAGTGCTTACAAACGTTACTTATCAGCTTACAAATTACCATTAAAAAAAACAAAAGAGAGATTAAACATAAGAGAAAAAAGGGTTTGAAAATGACACAATACGTTATACAGTTATTAAGGAAGATGGTTCTTTTTAGAGTTTTAGAACTGTTTTGGTAATTCGGTTACAAGGGGTTTGAAAAGGTTATCCACCCAGAACCCTCAATCCACAAGAAATTGGACTTCGTAATATCTACACCTTCTAAAAGGATAAATACAAAGTATAACAATGGAGATCTATTTGTAGAGGCAATACTCCCCTTGTGTCATATTTTGGAATGTTATATTCAAAACACACGTGTAATAAACTAATACAATTAAAGAGGTAGCTTTCAGAATTATATAGAAATCATGCTAGAATCTCTCCCTTAAAGAAAATTTTTTTTATTCTGTTTTCAACAAAATTACAAAGATGGCCATCTTATTTTTATTTTAAATGTAAATTATTTTAAAGAGATTCTTTCTTCACAAGTTATTTCTGAGAGAATTACAATGTTATTATGAGATGGCGAAGCTATGTAAAAATAATAAAAAAAAACATTTTGTTCTGATCGTTAATAAGCTAACACAAGGGAATAAATTTAATCTAACAGTGGGGGGGGGCTTCTATTATCTAGCTTGCATGGGTTGTGCGTCGGCACGGCTCCAGCGCGGATGAATCTAATGTTCTGAAGAGTATGTGTGGCAGTCAGTCACTGCACCGGTGTGATTACTGTACTTCACAAGCACAGATTCTTGCCTACATCTTGGAATATCTGACCCAAATAAAAATGTTCACCGTATATTGTCATCTGAACAAGTAACAAGTCTGCCACGTTTGTTTTGACCAACTGATGAAAAAAGCATTACAATAAATCACGCTACCACTGCGATTTAATCTAAAGATTGGTTAGCTCATATCACATCAAACCGTGCAAATTATTATTATTGTTATACTTTATTCTCAAATTATTAATGTTAACAACATCAGCATTGCGTGACTATAAGCAGGGCCGTTTCTAGCCAATTTGACGCCCCAGGCGAAATCCCTATTGCCCCCTCCCCCCCATATGATTCTTTTGTTTTGGACACCACTGACTTGCATTGTATGTATAAAAACATATTAATCAATTTTTTCAAAATATGTTATTTTATGTGAGAAGACAGAAGAAAGAAAGAAAGTTATAGAAGAAAGAAAGTGTAGAAACTTCAAATACAAGTTTGAAACAACATGAATAAAAAAAACAGAGCCCACTGATCTAATGGCGTTGTTGAGCGCTCCAAATGCAAACTTTGCATGCAACAATCGGGCAGCACTTGACAGCACTCTGATCCAGTGGCATACAGGCATCGTCAGATTGACAGTACTCTAGCCCAATAATGTTGGGGGATCCAGTGGGGGCGGCAGTCATATTTCAGGGTGACCGTGCCACTCTTTATCACAACCCTGCTAAAAGTGCCAGTATGTGCGCTCATTGGCAATGTGCGCACATACTGGCTAGCCTAGCTCACCTATGCCTAGAAACAGCCCTGACTATAAGTATAGTGTGTATTAGCGGCGATTTCAATTTCTGTACAGTCTAATCTAATTGTCATGCCGTTCGAATTTCATATTAAGAAATTCTTTTAACCCAAAAAGCAAATTATGCTCCCTTCGGACTGATTGTTTTTAAAATACAAATCTTGTGTAATCCCAGGCTATCTGTAATCAGAAGCACAGTTAAAACTGGAATATAATTACATTTCATTCACGTGTTTCATAAACACATAATCCTTTCTGGATTACAATCCGCCATCAAAATGATACATTTAATTATTCTAGCTGCTGTGAGAAAAGGCTATAAACGATCCGCCCCCTGCAGGATCCTCACATGCAGATGCGATATAGCATACTAGCCAGGACAACTTCTTTATGTTTACAGAGGTGACGAAATGCTCGAATTTCCCGCAAAAACCCGTACCCATACCACTCAAATTAGAAAACATTATTATAAGCTAACCGTTGTGAATCGGGCTAAAGGAAGGCGATAGTTTTGAACACTGGTTGGTTGCCGAGAGTGATTTGAATGGGAGTGTTTTAAAAGTTTGATCAAGTACATTTGAACTTTGTAGCAACAGTGAAGAAAAGCTGCGTGCCCAGAGAAACTGGCACAGAGACTTCAGATCCGCCGAGATCGCTATCACTGTTTCCCTCAACCGCAGCTATTTGATTAAAGTTACATTTAACTCCAAGCGAACTGAGAGTTTAAGCGCCACACCTCAAAACCTTCTCAAGTGGTGTTTGTTATCTGTACAGTGTTGAAATGCGCCGACATTTCATGCTAAATGATGCAATAATTCACGTGCTAGTCCACTAGATACTAGTTACGATCGTGACACGGAAGTCTTAACCTACTTCCGGAGCAACACTGAACTGCACACGCGCAGCACAGCGACGCCATATTGTAAACAAACTCCCCGGTGTTGCTAGGTTAATGAAACTGTTGTGTTTACATTGAAGTCTATGCTAAAGCCATTAGCCTCAAAGGTTAGCAGTTAGCATTACCATCCAGTGGTTGAATGCAGTGTCTGTTTTAACCCTTTAAACATCTCAACTAATTATTATTTCTCGCTTCTTACCACTTATTTGCATTTTACTAGAAAGGGAAATACAATTTTCTTCTTTTTTTCAAAAAAAGAAGAAAACTCCTGAAGTTAAATGAAAGTTATTTAAACAAACTTTAGAGTAAGTATCACTAATCGGGTATCTGGGAGTGACTCCACATATTCAGAGGTTAGTTGATAAATGTGTGCTTGGCAGGAGTGGATTGGGGAGCTACTAGACATTCTCTTAAAAGGGTATATTGTGCATTAATTAGGTCATCAATTGATTACTGTAGAATTATATATGGCTCAGCATCAGCCTCAGTATTAACTAGGATAGAGCTGGTTCAAAAGCAAACCCTTAGAATGTGTTGTGGAGCGTTTAGATGCTCTCCTGTGACCGCTTTGCAGATAGAATGGGTGAAACACCACTAGACAGTCCTGAAATCAGCTGAAAATGGTATATTGGACTGCTATTAAAGGTCATTTTACCAGATAGGATAATGACTGGGGTTATATGGGTTCCTGCACATGTGGGAATTCAAGGTAATGAAGAGGTAGATAAAACGGCTAAAGAATCCTTAAATATGGATGATCCGAGTATAACTATTGCACTCAGCAGAATAGAAGGAAAACAGTTCATATTAAATGCATGCAATATTGTATGGCAGATATACTGGGACCCGTGTCTAACAGGTAGGCATGATCACAAAGTACAAAGGAGCATAAAGAGAAGAAAAATCATTCATAGCATAAGTAGAAGTCATTTTAACACATATACGCACAGGACACTGAAATCTGAAGCGAACACTACATTACAGGGAAGCATGACACTGTGTTTAACAGAGCAATCAGTGGAGCACGTTATGATGATATGTGCAGCATACGAAAGAGAAAGGGGTCCACTTAAAGATGAATTACAATCCTTAGGAGTTCAAGAGTTTTCATTCAGTAGTATTCTGAATGATGGTCCAAATGCAGGAAAACAAATAAGTGCAATCATGAGATTTCTTAAGAATTGTGGAACACATAGTGACGTAGGTATGTGGGGGCGTGTTAGAACGAGTCGTTTTAGGTAGGTGTGGCTGACTCTAAACGTTTATAAAGAATATCTCTTTGGATTTAAGACTTTAGTCTTTGCAACTTTACAGATCTTCTTTATGCACCAAGAGCTTGTAACACTCCAAAGAGAAAGGAAAAATTGAAATCGCATCATATGACCCCTTTAAGAAAGAATTACAAGCAGTAGGATGACAGGAATGCAATATAACCGGCTTATTAAATGACGGTCCAAATTCAGGAAAACAAATCAATGCAGTCATAGTGGGTTATATAATAGGATATAGGAGTGCGTAGTTCATTCTCTTCACACTCCATCACAGTAGGCGGCGGTATGCACCTGTGAAGTTAGTTCGCAACCCGCCATAAAACCAGAAGAAGAAGAAGCAGAGGAAGAGGAAGAGGCAGGGGAAGAGGCAGGGGAGTGACGTCATCGCGTTGTTGTACGTGTCGAGAGAAAGCTGAGACTGCTCGAGTCCAGATCCAGGCCTGCAGAAGAACAGCAGACGGAAGACACACGCTCACATCTTATGGTAATAAAACCAGCCTAATGTTTATAGAAGGAGGAGAAATAGTGTGTGTGTGAGATTGAAGAGGTTATGAGTTCGTTAATCGTAACGCAGTGAGCGCTTTAACACAATATTTAGATTCACAGCATATTTCTGTTACTTTGTTAAATTTGTCAGCTATTGTTTTATTATTACTCTTAGGTAAACTTTCCTTGATAGTTTTTGTCATATTTAGTCAACCTTATCCTGCTTCTCTTGGTCAAGTTTTAGTTGACGAAGGTCTGTGTAGTATGTAAGTGTTTTATTGCCTTGTCCAGATACACACACTTGCGGTCTTTGCTCTTGACCTCTTGAACACTTATGTGACGGATTTCCTGTATCTGGACGACGTCTTCAAGTGAGGATGAAGACCACAAGTGTGTGTCGAACTTTTCATTACCTGATGGGACACACTTATAGTGTTATAAAAATGCAAGTGTTTACACGGCTTTATTTTAAATACTTTGCATTTTAAATCAACTTCTAAATGTCTGTTCAGTAGCCCCTATAACATGACCATTTTAATTTGTGGTGCTTCTAATTAAGTGATAAAAAGCAGTTGCACATGTTGTACAAAATAAATATCACCACTACTCATCTGTGCACCAATAAAACGTAAAAACAGTTTTTCTACCAAATGATATGTAATATCTAATTATCATATTAATATTTAACTTGCATTGCACAGGTTTCCGTGACCTCTCGCGAGATCTCGGCAAAAAGTCTCACGATTTATTTCCAGAACATGATGCATGATGGGATGCACTAAGCCTGGAGTAGCGCTCCGGAGTGGTATTGGAGATAGTGTGTGTTAAGTGCACCGCGCGCTCTGGTGTTTTTAAGACCTGGGACAGTCTTGCACACTTCCTGTGGCGCGCACGCGCTCTCAAGTGGCCAAGACCGCAAGTGTGGGTATTTGGACAAGGGGAATGTCTAGTTTTAGTCAATTAAAACAGTCTCCGAGTAACACAGTGGTGTTTTGTTTCTGAATTGAGTGAATTATTGATTCAGTAACCCATTCATGATGACAGTCACTTGCCTCGTTTCTGAATGAATCAGCTGTTTGAATGAATCGCTTGAATGAATGAATAAATGACTCGCTCATTAAAACAGTCATTTGTCACCACCTACTGGTGTTTCATATTTAAAAGTATCATTGCATTTTCCCCAACATTTCATATTTGTATGTTCAAAAAATGATTTAAAACATTTATGCATTTGCAGCTTTGTGGTGTAAATTAATTTATGGCACCTCTCAGCTTCATTAAAGGGGTGGTTGATTGCGATTTTAACTTTTTTTAACGTTAGTCAGTGTGTAATGTTGCTGTTTGAGAATAAACAATATCTGCAAAGTTACGAAGTTCAATGCAAACGGAGATATCGTCTTTTTAAAATTCTGGCTGTTTAAAGCCTACAAAAACGGCTGGTAGGGACTACAACGAGCTACTTCCCGGGTGCGTGACATCACAAACCCAGATAAACCCCGCCCCCGGGCAGCAAAGGGGGCGGGGCCATTGCGCTGCTTTAGAGAAGAGGAAGAGAAAACTAGAGGTGCACGTAAAAATTGTATGAATCTCATATATGAATCGCGATTCTGTCTTCTAACGATTCTAATGGAGTCACACGTTTCAAAATCAGTGTTCTAAAGCAGCGGTTCTTAATACTGTTCCTCGCGTAAAATAAATGTAGAATGTCTAATGTTTTCAAATGGAGAAAATAAATAAAGGACAGGAGTCATATCAACTTTATTTTGAACTACAGTTTTAGTAGGTCTATAAGCTGTAATAGGCTAAAGAGTGAAGAATAATTCACTGGCTAATGTTAAATCACTGAATAATATGCTCTGGAATATTGGAACATAAACAAAACATCGTATTTTATTGCATTTCTCAACTGGAATGTTATATCAAAATTATTAATGTTTTTGTCGTTCTAGATTATGAAATGCCTGCTGACAGCGCGGTTTATCTATGCAGTTACACAGAACTATACTCAAACTGCGATCGCTCGTGGAGATAATTAATAATTCATTTCCATAGCGTTGTATCTATTTAGATGTTTATTAGCGAAATATTGGTTATTTAGTAAATGTTAATACAATTTAGGGTGTTTTAAACAAGTGAATCTTGTTAAAAGTTACATGTGGTGGCCTAAAACATATTTTAAAACATAAAAATACACTAATGCTGGTGTTATGGTGCATTCAGGTCCTCCTGGGAAGTTCGTATTTATGAGTTAAGTCGTCATTACGACATCAGGTGCGTTCAAGTCTCTTTGCTCGGAACAAAATGGCGATTTAACTTTTCTACATAAAATTCAAGAGTTTTTTTACTCTTATAAAACGATGAATAAAGAACGTGTATCATTGTGTTTTTGCTTTTTTCAGTTTTTATTCAATTTATGAATGTGATGTAAACTGAATCATTATATATTCTATGGTAATTATATAATATTTTATTAACAAATTTACCGTCAAAACAGACGTTGCATATCTATATAGTCTTCGGCTGCATCCATTGCATGCGACATGTTTTCTCACTGACACGCCCCCAAACTTGGAAACTCGGGGCTTAAAGAAAATGTCGAGTTTCCCACTCGTAATATCGACTTTACGTGGCGTTCCTGTGCACTGTTTGAACTAGTCTGACCAGATAGCAGTTAGCCAAGAGATTTTTCACATTCAAATTAGACCAATCTAGGTTATGTAACCGACATAAAAAAAAAAAGTTATTAGACTATATATTCCTTTGGTGTAGCAGATGTTCACTGCTCATAAATTTTCGATACTGATACCTTTACTTCGATACTGATACCTGAACGATACTTTTTTCTATACCAATTTTATGAAATCCATTTGAACAAAATTACGTTACACGTTACCTCAAACTATTTTCTCCGCTTGTTGAGGTTTTTACAGACTCGGACTCATCTCCTGCGCCACTGCACAAAGCAGCAAAACGTAAAAAAACTAAAAATCAGTTCAAAATGTCCGTTACACCTCTGCATTAAGTTCTGTATTGAAGAATCCCAGAAAAATTTTTCTACAGATGAAACATGAAGCTAATAAACACGATTGCGACAGTATATGAGTTGTATGTGATTTTCATGAGATTCCTCCTATTTTCATAACAATACAGGGTGTTTACATGAGAAATGCTTAGCGGGTGTAGCGATTAGCTTGATATAGAAGGCTACTAATAGCATATTTCAGTAACATTATGTGACCAAAACACACACTAGAACGCAATCTGAAGTTATTACAAACACTCGATGGTGGTTTAAAGTGAGTTTTGAGTAAAAGCATAGTATAAATGTAATGTCTTGTGTAGTATGATGCTACAGTGTGCATGAATGGTCACGTTCCATGCGTTTTCCTTGATTCCTCGTCAGAGCCTATCACTGATTTAGGCATATAAAGCATGCTTATTGGCTCACTGACTTTGATGAGATTAACCCCTTAGGTATCAAAATATGGTACCGAACAACAAGACATTTTTCGATACTCTGGTATTGAGGCAATTCGGTCGGTGCCTAAAAAGTATTGAACTCTATATGCAGCCCTATTGATTGGTTCTGATGGATTTCGGGTCAGTGATGTTGTTTACACAGATGATCAAGAGTAGTGAAACATTTCTGCTTCTGTTTTCTGTGTCTTCATGTAGGTTGTTTCCTGTGATCACTACAGCAGCAGAAAAATGAACGTGTTTGATCGCACCATAAACTTTGATGCTCTCTTTAAGTTCTCTCAAATGTAAGTGTGTTTTGATCACCTCAGTGTCATTTTTATGCTTGTGCCGGTCTGTTTGATAGTCATGACATAATACTGATTTCATTGTATCTACACTGTAATGGCTAGAATTGTATAATAAGTTGTAGCAGAAGGAATAATGTGTTAAAGCTGAAGTGTTGTTCTGATTCGTGTCTGTCTGTGTGTGTTTCTCTGGTCAGCTCTCGCTCGACTCAGCAGCACCTGAAGAATGTGTATGCCAGTCTGGCTGTGTGTATGCTGGTGGCAGCCGCCGGCGCCTACATCTACATCATCACCAGTCTGTTTCAGGTAACCGCTCTAGGCTTCGCACCTCACACTCATAGTTGGGTTTGGAAGTAGCTTTCACGCATGTCATGGTATTTAAATTGATGGTAACCATACCATGTGTTTGTATTTTCAGTGGTATTGAAAAAAAATTGGCAACACGTTACATGTACTTACTATAGTCAAAACATTAAATTATGCATAATTACTAGAGCCCGACCGATATATCGTTTTGCCGATATTATCGGCCGATATGAGCCTGTCGCCGATATATCAGTATCATTTAATTAAGGGTTTGGGAGTTACGGGTGGTTAAATTCGCGGTCTGGTGCCGACCGATCAAGTGATTGATTTTGAAGTGATTGAAGGGCTACCGACGCGCGGAGGGTGGCGTTCAAGAGGGCTCCCCCGGCGCATTCATGAGATAGTGACACCAATCAACACTTTCCCTTCAGTAATGAGGTTTCTTGTTCAGGCAGCAGCATTCAAGCGTGGTCTTATTCCGACCGTAAGTGCCCTGCGAAGTGGACTTCACATGAAATTCCGCCATGATTCCAGTTCCAAGGGAACGTACACGTTACATTCAAAGGGCATTAAAGTGCGCAAGACGTGAATTTATATTGTATTTATTCACAGAGGTATATTATGTCACACTTCACACTTCTCTAGTAAGTTTCGTCTGTGTGTGAAGACAGTAGCGCAAATCCGTGAATGAATGTTTGAAGTGAAATAAACTTCAACGGAATCAAGTTGAATGGAATTGAATTAAAGTTGAATAAACTTCAACTTTACTGTTCAGTGCACTGATGTCAGACTCATTTTGGATAATAGTTTATTGTTAAATGCCCTGCCTCCATTACGTATCTCCGTCACGCCATTATAAGTGTTTGATCACCACATTTGAGTGATCATTGCAAAAAATGTTTATGTATATACTGTATTCTATATATAGTACCAGTCAAGTATTTGGACCCTCGAATGGGAAAGTGTCCAAACTTTTGACTGGTACTGTACTATAATATACACAAAGAATATCGGCCGATATATCGATATCGGTATCGGCCCCAAAAAAACCCATATCGGTCGGGCTCTAATAATTACATATAACTAACCCTAAACCAAAACTTAATCCTTATATGGTAAGCATATGTTATTAATTTATATGATTCAGTACCTAATTGTGTAATTGCTCTGTAAGAAGGACTCCTTAAAATAAAGTGTAACCAAACAATGTACTGGTCTGCCTGTTAGCTAGAAAAATTACGTCTAGAGTGGGGCTTCTTTTCTAAACCTGTTAATTTTGTATGAATATAAATCTGTCAGGGAAGACAAGTTTTTTTTCTGAAAGTTACCTCATGTGCAGTTGACATGTTTGTTTGTTTGTATGTAAGTGAGTTTTGTTCATTCATGACCAAAAACACAAAATAAAAGCATGCATAAGGTGGCACGCCATTCAGTAATAAAGCATCAGGGCATGAGATTCCAGTGTAGACGGCTGTGAGGACAGTTTCCAGTTATTGCAGTGATTTTTTTTTTTTGCTTTGTCATTATGGTGTATGGACTGTAGACTGTTATGAGAAAAAGTAGTTTAACATAAGGCAACATCATAAAACATGAAATTAAAAAAATGATATTTTCACACGGTGCTGTAGTAGAGCATATAATACTGCAGGACCTCACCTGGTGGACAGATTCTTGTAAAGCGGATCTCTAATATGCATTATCATGATATTGTCTTTCAGGGTGGGCTGACCATGCTTGGATCGCTGGCTATGATGGGTTGGCTTGCCATGACCCCTCACAGCCCTCAGACAGAGAAGAAGAGGTTGGCCATCCTCGCTGGTTTTGCTTTCTTCACAGGTGAGAAGTTATTTACATTTTTTTAACAGCTTCTTTTCCTAGATCATGTTCAAAAAAACTTACTGTAACATGTCAATCCTCAAACAGGTCTTGGACTCGGCCCGCTTATGGACTACGTCATTAGCGTCAACCCGAGGTAATATTCCCAGAGCAAAGGGTTTACTTTCTATTGGGCCAGTCTTAAAAAAAAAAAATCAGACGTTCTTTGAGCTGATTGTTAAAGCAAAAGTTGACCCAAAAATGACAATTTTCTGAAAATGTACACACCTTCACCCTTACACCCTTTTGTTTCTTCATGGAATCAGATTTTGAGCATTGAACGTAGCATTGCATCAGTGTCTCAGCAGTGGGTGCCGTCAGAATGAGAGTCCAAACAGCTGATAAAAACATCACAATAATCCACAAGTAATCCACAGCACTCCAGTCCATCAGTTAACATCTGGAGAAGACAAAAGCTGAAACACATCCAGCATTAAGACATTTTTAACTTTCCTCCAGTGAAAGTGTTCTGGTCTGAATCAGGAGAGAACTCTTCACAGATTGAGCACTGTTTAAACAGTCCAAAACAGCTCTAAACAAATATTTGGGTAGATTTTGGTGTGAGAGACAACAGGAGACTTTTACTAGAGGAAATGTTATTATTGATTATGGACTATTTTTGGCAGAAGCAAAGAGTTGAAGTTAAAAAGACATCTTAATGGTGGATTTGTTTCTTACAAAGACCGCTTTTGGCTTCACAAGACGTTAATTGCTGGACTGGAGTCATGAGGATTACTTTTAAAGGTGCTGTAGGTAATATTTTGACTGCACTAAAGCGTAAAAACACCAGAATATATTTGCAGGTATTCAGAAAACATGCCAAGTTATGCTACAGCCAGATATTCTACTTTGAAAATGTGCGTTCCGTGTTGGAATGTCTGTTTTTGTTTTGTCTGTGTGATTCCGCCCACTTACAGTTTACCCAATAGGATTTCAACACCCCGGATTGCCGGAGAGCGGAAAACTGTGTATTATAGCCATAAAAGCGAGCAAACGAGTCAGAGATTGCAGATTCTACCCGACTTAAAAAGCCTCGGCATCCATATAAAACGCTCTGTGACAACAGGCATATTAAAACGTGAAAAATCAACTCTTCAGTTTACAGAATAAGGTTCGTCACCTTCCATTGTCAGTTGCGCTCGTTCGTGTTGCGTGTCCTCAATAGGGTTGGGTACTGAAACCCGGTACCAATATGGCACCGGTACCTATGTAACCGGTATGTACTAGAACCGAATCAGAACGCAGATTTCGATGCCTCGTTTCGGTGCCATGCCGGAGCGATCGATTGAAATATTTGTCCTCTGGTTCTCCGAAACGGATGCAAGAAGCATCATAACCTGCACCGCGTGTGAAAAATAATTTCAACCTGAATTATAATTTCAATTTCTAAACATGCCTAAGGCTAAACTTCTCTTGTATTCACATTTCTAAACCTGTTGTCCAACAAAAGAGAACATTATAACCTTTTTACTCCACAACACCAGCCACATGCTTCCTTCTGTGATCTGATGAGGCTTCTTGTCACAGAACGAGGCACAAAATATGTTCCATATGCTACTTACAAAGAATACATCGATTAGCAATGGATTATAAATATACGTAATTATTATGCAAATAACAGATGGCTTGAATAACACCGATAAACTTTAATGTCGCAGTCGAGTGTTTATTGTCTTTGTTTTATCATTCAAAACGTTTCTATGTTCTGTTTACTCGGTTACAGCTATAATAGCGATGCCTTTGTGCATATGAGGGATTTCCTGGAGGGTCGTGAGCTAAATATACGTAATTATTATGCAAATAACAGATGGCTTGAATAACACCGATAAACTTTAATGTCGCAGTCGAGTGTTTATTGTCTTTGTTTTATCATTCAAAACGTTTCTATGTTCTGTTTACTCGGTTACAGCTATAATAGCGATGCCTTTGTGCATATGAGGGATTTCCTGGAGGGTCGTGAGCTCTGTGCTTCTGTGGCTGGATGTGTGGATTCTCTGTGCGAGGGCGTGCGGTGTGAATGAAACAGACACCATGTGTTTATAGTGCTAATGGCCAATCCATCATTTTTGAGGGAATTTTAATTAATTTTTTTAATAAGTATCGGTTTAGGCACCGGATCCGTTTTAAAAGTATCGATTTGGGACCGGTATCGAAAAAAAACCAAACGATACCCAACCCTAGCCCTCAATCTGACAACCCGCATGAGTGTTGAGTCAGAGCACGAGGGGGCGGGAAAAACAGTATTCTGAATTTAGACCACCATTATTACATACTGCTAGTGCTGGGCGGTATACCGGTTCATACCGAATACCGGTGTTTGTTTTTGTTATGATATGAATTAAAATACCGCAATATAAATATATTATAAATATTAATTATACCATGAATTATAAATGCGGTATACCGGTTCATACCGAATACCGGTGTTTGTTTTTGTTATTATATGAATTAAAATACCGCAATATAAATATATTATAAATATTAATTATACCATGAATTATAAATGAGCGTGGTTCGTCTGTTAATATCACATGCACTTTTTAGTTTGTTGTTGTATTTAGTTTGTTACTCAGACGCAGGCAGTGCGCTGCACGAGACAAAGAAGTAATCTAGCCAACACAACCGCATAGCTGCTCTTTAGTGTAGATGCATGCTGAGTTTATCAGACGATGCTGTGATTATAAATGAGAGTGACTCCTGGTTAACATGTGTTAAAAGGGGTCGTGTTTAGTCACTATTTAGTGTGGTATTTTGTGACAATATTCACTCATCATGACAGTAAAATAGGGCATTCTGAGTCAATATACTGCAGTATTTCCTCTCAGTCAGTAGAAGATATGCTTAACACCCGCTCATGCATGGAAAAAAAATACCGTCATGTACTGTGAAACCGGTATAATTGTGAGAAATACCGTGATATACATTTTTGGTCATACCGCCCAGCACTACATACTGCATCTTTAACGGAATTAAACTCAGAAGAACTGTGGTTTTGCATCCCTGAATTGTTTCATTTCATCAAATGTCATGTACTGACTGTCATAAAGCTTTGACTGTCCTCTGTGGCTTCGTGGAACTGCACATCATGATACGTTTCAACACGTGGTGATTATACGCAATAGCATTATTGGATCGCAAGTGAAATGCTGTCTCTGATCTGTATTCAGAGGCATAGAAGCAGCTTTAAGTCTGATTGCATTTTGAATTGGCGTTCTCAGAGTTGCCGTTTTTTCAGATGATTTGCTTCTTTAGTCTTGATATAAAAGCCTCAACAATTGTGCTATTCATTGTTGCAGCATCATCCTGACTGCTTTCCTGGGCACCTCTGTCATCTTTGCCTGCTTCACGTTGAGCGCTCTCTATGCCAAGCGCAGAAGCTATCTCTTCTTGGGAGGTAAACATTAAAACATCTGCTAGTTCAGCTGATCAGTGATTTTAAATTGACCTGTAATTTAGTTTTGATTGATTTTTCTTCAAGGCACTCTGATGTCAGGGCTGATTGTTCTTCTGCTCGTCTCCTTCCTCAACATGTTCTTCGCCTCAGCCATGGTCTTTAAGGTATGTGATGTGACCGTATGAAGCAGGTGGTGAAGTTGTGTGAGTTTGTGTAACCGTTTTGTTTGTTGTTTCAGGCTCATGTGTATCTGGGTCTGGCCATCATGTGTGGCTTTGTGCTGTTTGACACTCAGCTAATCATTGAGAAGGCAGAAATGGGAGACAAAGATTACATCTGGTGAGGCATAGAGGTTTACTGCGTTTACCAATATATTAATAATTATTATCATATAATGTAAGGTGTATGTAAGGCCTGTTGTGTAAAAATGGAATGACTGAATGAATGACTAAATAAATGAGTTGATTAGTTGTTGCTAAAAATGAATTTATTTAATATTTGCTAAATAATCATTTTAACATGCACTAGCTAAAAGGCATTGTTTGTATTTTGTTTTTAAATGAAGGCACTGTGTTGACCTCTTCCTGGACTTTGTGACCATCTTCAGAAAGCTTGTTATCATTCTCTCTATGAATGAGAAGGTATTTGAAACATCATAACTTTGCATCAGCTCTGTGCTGTCAATAACACAATCATTATTTCTATTTTGTTCCATGTTTAACTTGTTTATTTTTTATGTGTTTTAGGAAAAGAAGGAGAAGAAGTAATTTTCATAAGAGTGAAAACATCTGTGAGCTGAATACATGTCAGCAGCTTCATTATGAATATGATTACATAATTTGATTGTTTAATGTGATTTGAAATCTTGTCTTAATTTTTATTTTTGAATTGTTTCTGGGCTTTGGATATGTTGTCAGACTAATGATCTAATGTTGTTTGACTAGATTTTGAGATCGTATTTAAAAGCTTAAGTTGATCTTTAATTTCTTTGACTTACTGCAACTCTCTGAAGCAGAATTCAGAGCTCTGTAGAAAAGGAGTCTCATAAAAAAAAAACAGATTTAATATTGTTCATACAATTTGAGTGTAATGGAGTTGTTGCCTGCTAGATGATAGAAGACTTTCTTACCCCATACTCTGAACAATATCAAATTGTATATCATAAATACATTCTAATCATAACCTAGTTGTCTCGCTAAACTGCTTTTCTGTGGTTATAGCATTGCTTCATTTATATTTTGTCTTTGTTGCCACATTGTCACATAAAATTGGTTTTGTAGCTGCTAGTGCCAATTTTATTTTGATTTAGTCAAGTCTAACTTTAATGCATTTATCAGTGAGATCACAGATGAGATTATTTTATTCATAAATATTGTGCATCTTAAGTCAATAAATGGTGCCACAGATTGCAATTTTGATCCTGTGACTACTATATTAAACCATGAGCTGATAAATATACATTGAGCATGTTCAATTCTTCTAGTCAGAGGACTGGTTGAAAAGGCAGCCTACAAATCAGAAACTTTCAGATAAGCAGATGTTTTAACATTATATCATATGTAACAACCAAAGCACTTTTCATGCAATACTTTATGTGCTGATTCATATAGTGTCTGTATGCACAAGTAGAAAGTACAAGAGATGCCTATATCATTTAAATGCCAAGGTAGTGGACCGAATACTCTAGGCTATTCCTGTGCCCAGCTTTATGGTGGGGCTTCTCTCTGACTGCAGTGGAGAAAGTTCTGCTGTTTTGATTGGATATTTTTGGATTAACACAAACAAATGTACAATGGCATCAGATAAGACATTGGGACTAATTTCAGACACCTCTTAAAGGGCAAGATGAGCCCAGTACCAAGCCAGGAAAGTAGAGGACTTGCTAATTCTTATCAACTAGCTAACTGCCCTTCAGCATCTTCAATCTCACGCCAAAATTTAGGTCAGGGTGGCCATAAAGTTCCTGAAGACCTGTAGCATGGGAATCCTCTGGTCATGCAACAGCATTATGAGCATGATATAAAATACTATAAAAGTCAATGGCTGCTCTTTTTGGTTGCCAACATTCTTCAAAATATCTTTTGTGTTCAACAGAGTAAAGAAACTCATACAGGTTTGGAAAAAGCAGGCGGTGATTAAATGATGGAATTTAAATTTTTGTGTGAACTATCCCTCTAAAGGCCTTTCTTTACTGAGCGCGAAAAAGCGAAACGAGTATTGGATGCGATGACACGCTGGAATAAAACAATAGATTTTTGTGGATGCTTCCACATAGACCGCGAACATTCGCGCAATGAAAATGCGAATGTTTTTTTCGAACCAGTCCGACGAATCTTTTCAGTTTAGCAAAGCGAAAACATGGCCGTCCAATAAGATTTATTCTCACATGTTCTTTATACAGAATAACATTTCTATTAACTATCCTCTGAATTATGTGATCTGTAGAGCACCATCCGTTTTCCTCCACGTGCGCGAGTGTTGTGAGTCCGAGCGTGTTATCTCTTTTTTACACATGAAATATGAAAGCAAATAGACATGATTATGACAATATATTTTCTGTAAGTGTTTTGTATGCAGCTCATGGTATTTTTAGCGCAATAAAGGATGTTTATTACAAATATTATCAGTGTAGCGTTATTAAAAATACAAAGAGTGCATGTATCTGCTTATTAATCAAAATCAACTATAGATCACAATTGGCACTCGATGATGGTTTAAAGTGGATAAGCAAATGCATTAATTAAATTTTCAAGTGTAGCTTGATGCTAATTGTACTTCTAATTATATTTTTGGATGTAGCCTATTCTTGTAAGCATTATAGATAGTTTGTTTCTGGTGTAGAACCCTGTTTATCTTAATTTAATACTGTATATTGAGCAGCGGATGATGTTAAATCCATGTACGAGATACATATCTGAGGAAAATGCATTGTTGGTTGGCGCCACCTAGCGTGCAGGTGTGAATTGGCAGAAGGCGAACAATCGTTTCGCGTTCGGTGTGAAAGCACCGTTCGTCAGCGTTTCGCATCGCGCTCAGTGTGGAAAGGCCTTAAGTGCTGCAATGCCCTTTCTCTCTAATCTTCCGCAGCAGAAAATGGCATCACCTACATGCTTTTTACTGTCCTTTAGCTGCGTTCCAATGGTACTGTTGTCTGATTTCCCAAACACTAGAGAACAGCAAAATCCCCAAAATACAATCATTTGTAACTGTATCCCTGCACAAATCCTTTTTTTTGTCAAGTTTGTCCTGTTCAACAGTCCTTCCTGGACTATTGCAAAGCTCTTCTGGCTGGACGTACATCATGTGTACCCTAACCACTACAAATGATTCAGAATGCAGCAACATGACTAGTCTTCATCACAACTTCTCTCTGCACCATCTGCAGTTAAATTGAGCCTCACATCCTTTGCATTGACATTTTTCTCAGCATTCATTTGGGAAGGCAGACCAAGCCAGTGAAGACACAGCAGATTCTTTGAAATCTTTGCAACTTTGTTATATATTGCTTTAATTAGGATTTTTATCCTATCAAAATTTTTGTTACAAATTTCAATATCACAAAAAAGAAAATACTAGCCTAAGTAAAAACAAGCGTACTGAAGTCACAAATTACAACAGAACAAAGATACATAAGAAATGGACCTACTCATCCTAAATGTGCAAATAGATTGAATAGTCTTCAGTGTATAAATTCAATATACATTCATTCTTATTTATTTGTCAAAAGTGATTCAGTCAAGGACTGAGTGATTTTCTTTCTGATGTTTGATTGACATTATTGACACAAATGGCAACAGCAGCTATATTAGGCTACTTTAGAGGAATAGTTCACACAAAAATTTAAATTTTGTTATTGTTCTAAAACTGAACCTGAATGCAATTCACTCTGGGGGAATCACATTTTTTAAGTAGTGTAGCGTGTGGACCAATCAGACACACAATTATTTGTTATATTTAACAAATTATCCAACACCCCTCACCCAACAAACAGACTGTGTGCAGAGACGTCCGTGAATGACCCCCGGGCCCCTGGTTACCATGGTAACCAAGACACCTCAGCCAGACCAGATAAACTTTATGACTTTAACCCCCTAGGGTCTGAGGGGGTTTTGGGGCCCTGGAGAAGTTTTGACATGCCCTGACAGACTTTGTGTCATTCCGGGGGAAAAAAAAGATCCTGTTCAACTTTTGAAACAAGTAAACCATACCTGGTATTTCCAATCTGTTTGCTGCTTCTTTCCATGGAGTCAAGAAAACAACCACCCCATCATCAGTAGTCATGAAGCTTATTTTACCCAATGTAGTTGAACAGCTTCTGTTGGTACAGCACTCTCAGAGGAAAACAGTTTGACGTGAAGTCTTCAAGGTATCTGTTCACCCCAAAAAAACATGATTTTGTAGTCATAAACACAAGCATGCTTTGCATGTTTTATGCAATACAAAAACATTTTATATCTGAGAAACTAAAATATTAAGCATGTTTTAAACATCTTGAACAGAGTATTTCACAATAAAGATTGGTCTAAACTTACTGTAGATTCTAACATTTATAGAGTTACAGTGTAAACACTCATAATACTTTTATATCGTGTTGTTTTATATTTTATAGAACATTAAAAACATCCTGGCGTCGTGAGACATTTAGATACATTTCAAAATGTTTCACTTGATTTCATACATTTAGTCAGGAATTAGTTTGGGAAAAGACTAACTAATAAAATGTGTACAAGTTACGTCAATAAAAATGAATGCAATTAATAAAGCATGACTTACTCGTCAGAAATGATCTCTTCCGCTGCGAATCGCGTTCTTCTTCTGAGGTAAATTCTGGCTTATTCCTCTCAGCACATCTTCTTCCAGAAACGATCAGTATCTGTGATGAACTTGATGAATCTTCACACTTTGTTTATGGAGGTGATGTGTGCGTTTACAGTCTCATGTGGATGATTACCGTATGAATAGTGCGTGCTGCGCAGGGGCCGTGATCACATTACAGATAATGAGCTCAGACGGGAAAGACTGGACCTTGCATTGGTTTCATATGGATTACTTTATCACATAATATTTGTTTTCGATAACAACTTAGTTTAAGTTTTAGTTCAGACACTTCAAGCTTCCTATAGATATATTTCTCATGTCTGTGTGTGAAGTATTCACTGAGTTTTGGATTTCCGTGGAGACTGAAAAGGCTGAAAGCGCACCCTGTTTATTTTCTGTATTTTACAAAAGCACAATGTTTTGTTGATATTGTAAGTGTACACAAATAAAAGTAGACCCTTCACAGATTCAAATGATGATAAGGATTATGGATCCATTATCCGCTAATAAAGCTGTTCATCCGGACCGGACCCATTCATGAAGCAACTCATCTGAACCGTATCCGATTCGGACCCATTGTTGGAGTAGCTGATCCGGCCTGGATCTGATCTAAACCCATTCATTAAGTGGGTCTATACCTTATTCAAAATGGTTAATCTAGCTATAGAAATATCTAAAATAGAGCTGACAAACATTATATAGACTAGACAGCTCTATAAAAGCTTAAATATTTCATATGTCTCCCTTTATTAATAAACCATAAAATCATTCAAAAATCTGAACTTTCCTTGGCCAATAACAATGAAACATTCTATAAAAAGTAGGCAATTACAGACTGTAAATACATTGAATAGGTTTTACAGAAAAATAAAATGCAACCATAAATTGTACAAAAAACATTGTTTTATTTAATGGAAAAACTAAAACTAAAAATTGTATAGATTCAGTTCAATAACTTTATAAAATTAATCTTTACAAATGAAATTTGTTTAATTGATCTAAAAGCAATTCTACAGCAGACAAAAGTTTCATTATTCACTTAGTGTCAGCTTGATGTTGACTTAATTTCAATATCAGTGAAAATGTTGCAAAATTCTTAAATTATGAAACAAAGTCAATTCGGCAATAAAGCAGCTCTGGAGAAAAGAGTGATGTCATAATCCAGCTCAATTCCATTCAAGTTTTGTCATTATGCAATAGTGTCAGTACAGTCAAATCAATAATATCACAGAATATTCAGTGTCTTTTAAACGTGTGTTTTAAAAGTCTTTTAAACTAATCTAGCCAGAGGTGACATTGGAACCCAAACTTCACCAGGTGACTGAAATGGAGAAAAAAACCTTGGGAGAAACCAGGTGTAGTTGGCTCAGCTCTCCTCTGGCTAAATGAACAAAAATTATGATTTCAGGCCACATCACTAGTCAGATTGTGGACTGA